ACCATGAGGTGATTGGCTTCCCTCTGCCATAGACTTCCATCATGATGTTTTTACCTTGCCACAGGTCTCAAAAGCACTGGAGATGGCCAATCCCTCTGGAACCATGCACCCAAATAAATCTTTCCTTGTTTAAGTTGACTTTCTCAAGTATTTGGTAAATGACAGGGAAACTGATTAACAGTAACTTTTAATATTTGATTTGAGGAATTTAAAAAAATTATTTATTTATAATTTATCCCAATTGTGTATAGTAGTAGTTCTTCTAGCTTTAGCATAATAATATTAATTAAAGGATAATCTCTAGCCTAGTAATCATTTTGCTATTTTCTGATAGGATCATCATTAGAATTATAATTTCTACAAACTCAGTACAATATTTCTTTTATTAACTATAGATTTTAAGAGAAATGAGAGCATTTAAAAATGATAAGGTCTGGAAGTGGTGCTGTGGCTCAAATGGTAGAGCGCTTGCCTTGAGCTGGAGAGCTGAGGGATAGCGCCCAAGCCCAGAGTTCAAGCCCCACGATCCACAAAAAGCAAAACAAAACAAAACAAAAAATGATAAGGTCATAAGCTAGGAGGAGCCAAACACTGATTGCTCAAAACTACAATCCTAGCTACTCAAGAAACTGAGATCTGAGAAACAGTTTTGAAGCCAGCCTGTGCAGGAAAGTCCATGAAATTCTTTATCTCCAACTAACTAGCCAAAGGTCAGAAATGGAGCTATGGCTCAAGTGTTTGAGTTCTAGTTTTGAACCAGAAAGCTAAGGGACAGTACCAGGGCTCTGAGTTCAAGCTCCAGTATACACACACACTCTCTCTCTTTCTCTCTCTCTCACACACACATATACACAATGCTAAGAGGAAGTAAGCAAAAGTACTGGAAAGCATAAACTAAATAGAGAAATGCTTGTAAAATCACATTAGCAAGGAGACTTGGCTATGGTGAATCTAGTCAGGTAGTTGGCTGTGTTCATGATTAGAAGTTCTTCAGCTCAACTGTATCACTCATTCTCCATGCAATTTATTCAAGCTGTATTACTTCATGAGGAGTTGGGCCAGATGATTTCTAAAGCGAGCTAGCTTCACATAAAGTAATATCTAATGATCTACTTCTCTATATATACCTTGATCTCAGATGAGTAGGGAGTCCTCCTGTAGAAACCCACTTATTAAACTTTTTTATTCCACTATAAATGTTATCTTCTACATGCTTCTCATGACCAGTTATTAATTCTTTGTGACACTGTCTGGACCTGGATGATTATAGCTCAGATTTGGAACATAGTAAGTATCATAGAAGATTTTAGCATGTCACCTTGGTATTGCTGGAGTAGATATGTTTCCACCAAAAGACAGACGCTTAGGTAGCTAGCAAAAGTTCCAGCACACTGAAGACAAATATCATCAGCAGAATATACTGAAAATTGGAGAGTATCAGTGGTTAGTACCTGACACAAGTAACCTGTGCTTACCAAGAAGAGACTGGGAGATGAAAGCTCTTCCAACAGGGACAAGAAATGACAGGAAAAAATGTTTATTTCTCTTCTCTGATTTTTTCATATCAGAACCTTGGTGTTTCACATAATTATAGATAATTGTAATTTGCCTTTCTCTCTGGTTGCGTCCATTATTTTCCTGTTGATTTCAATGCTTTTTTTACATGCAGAATGTAGGATCTAGTTAGAGGGTGTGGATCACTGAGGGTGTGCCCTAGGAAGATAAGCCTTGTTCTGGCTGCATCCTATTTCCCCTCCCTTTGCTTCCTGGCTGCTATGAGATAAATAGCCTCTTCCTCCACATACTTCCACTTCCATGATGTTTGGCTTCATCCAAGGTGAGGGACCAGGGACTGAAACTTCTGAAGCTATGCATATGTGTGAAAATGGAACAATGAAGCTTGTTCAACTGGTTTGGGAGGCATGAAAGGGGGTGAGAATATCCCAGAGTGATGGAGGGGATGGGTCTGACCAAGGGACACTGTATGTATATATGGACGTGTCAAAATGAAACCCTGTGAAAAACTAATTGATGCTGATAGAGATAAATAAAAGTTAGTCTGAATTAAAATAAATACATCTTTCCCCCTCAAGTTGTTTATGTCCCTAGCAACACAAAGCTTGACTAGCACACTTCCTTTGTTTGAAATTCCCCTATTTTATGTGTGACTTGGATACTCTGCCTGCTCAAGACTTAGTGAGCAGATAGCAAGATTTCATTCAACTCCTCAGAACATTGAGTAGCTATTTCCTCATCTTATTTTCAAATATTGGGTAAATATTCAGTCTGAGCTTCTGACTTTTTTCCAAGGAACTCAGTGTAAGTTCCTGTAGTTGTAGCAAAATGGAAACCTTTCCTGGGCATTAAAGCTTTATGACCCTCACCTTTAACACAAATATTCTTGTACAAATTACCCAAATTTCTCACCACTTACTTGATAATTTGACTTTATAATTCTTCTTAGATTCTGGAACATAGGACAATTTTTCTTTTGAAACAAGGCCTTACCATGTACCGCAGGCTGTCCTTGAACTACAGAGAGTCTTCTTTAGCCTTCCAGGTGCTAGGATTACATGTGTGAACAATGATGACCAGGCCACCTTTCCTTCCTGATTGCTTCCTTCTTTCTAGCTTCCTTTTTCTCCCCCCCAATCAATAATATATCTATATCTATGTCTATATCTACTTATCTATCCAGCATATATATGTGTATAAAACAATAGATTAAAAAACTATATATATGATGTTTTTTCATCTATTACATTTGTCTAAGTGATAGCTGCATTAAATGAAAAAGAGGTAACTGTAGGGATCAGATTAGTCTGCTCTGTTACAACTTTGTTATTTCAAGAAGTTCTTTTTGGATCTCCTTGTCTGAGTGGGAAGCATTTTGTTGTAATGAGATTAGATTTCATTGAAATAAACACCAATTATTCCAGTGGGAATACGACTCTCTAATACTCATTCCTTTACCTTGTCTTTTTTGTACCATGATTATACTATCTCCTGGGATTTCTCATGTTGATTTCTAATCCAATGGGTCTCTGTGCTCTCTTACTTCCTCAATCTCCTGGATCAGAATGACTGCTTTTAACAACTTTTAGGGCATATGGATAGACTCAGGCAGATGTGAGTGCAAAAATGCTCTTAGAATTGTAAGACGGATGCACTCAGGGAGTTGAGAGATAATGCCTTTGTCTCTTATTTCTGCAAATTTCTTCTTAGAGGACCACAAGTTTATAGTATTGATAAGCTGCTTTTATCACTAACCCTCTTTGCCAGCCTTGCTGGGTCAAAATATATTAAGCATGTATTTGGACTTAATAATCAAATTTTGTAGCACATATAGGCATGCACTAGTCTTGTTCTTATCTTCCCTCTCTTCCTTCCTTCTTCCCTTTCTCCCTTTTCCCCCTCCCCTTTTCTCTCTTTGCTTCTTTCTTTCTTTGGTTGGTTCATTCATTCTTCATTGCTAGGGATCAAATCTAGAGCCTTTATTAGGCTAAACAAACACTTTCCTGTTGGGCTACCCACTCTGCTTCATTTATATACTTAAATTCACTGATAATTAGAAAAATAAGCATCTCTAAGAATTAAGTTCTTCAACTCCAGGAAAGAGCCTTAAGAGAGAGATTCTGAAGTTCAAAAATAATTTCAATAAAGAAAATGTTTCTGCCTATATTTGAAAACAATGCCTGCTTAACAAAGGAGCATTTTGACAGTTCAACATATTGAGGTTGGAATACTTATAAGCTTATGAAAGAACACTCCGGGGATATAATTTCCATTGTCCTTTTCTGATTTGCTTCTTTTCACTGGATCTACCATATCACTCAGTCTGGTAACAGGCCTCTTCCATTCAAGAATTGTTTCTGTGTGACTTAGACATCCAGACAAATAGGAAACAGAAACTACTGAAAAAGCAGCAATTGGGTGAAGAAGAGACATGTTGTTTTTACATGACAGGATATTCAATCTGAAACCACTTACTGTTATACTGACCCCAGCCAGGAGGCAGTCCTGTCTATGTATTGAATGATGATACTCCGAATAAGGCAATAGAGATAGATGCTCCTTTCCTGAATTACAAGGTGGAGAAGCAGTCCCCAGGGCCTCTAGGCTATAAGCAAGGAAGAAGAGGCTGCCCCAGCAATGGCAGAACTCACTGTATTTGAAGTCAGGCTTCTCATGGCCTGGAAGAGAAATTCTGCATTAGGCCATCATCACAGAATCAGTTCATGATGCTATTTTCCCTCTGTCCATTGTACAGCAGACATGCTTCCTTGGATGTGTGTCTTCCTTTAGTGTGTTTTCCTAGTGGACAGGGATTATATCTCATTCATCTTTTATCCCTCTTCACTATATAGTCCACCATGGGATATAATTATCAATGCTTGTCCAGTAAGAAAGCACATTAATAACTCTTCTTAGGGAGAAGGGCTTCTGGCCTCTCTCAGCTGACTCTCTGTATAGTACTGAACTCAGAGTCGGTGCACTCAGGCCACTGCCAAGAACTATCTTGATTTCAAAATCTCTGGCAATATCTCTTTAGTCCTCTCTGGAAAACCCAGTATTTGAGGTTACCTTACGTGGAGGAGGAGGTTTAGAGATAGGCAGACATAAACAAGAGAAGTCGCATGCTTCAGAGGATGATTGGCCCTACTGAATTCATATAACCTTCAACAAATGGCATGCAGTTGACCTTCAGTTGATAAGTAGTGGTTATTCAAAATGATAAACATACACCTTCAGTTTCCCTCAGTAGCAAAATGATTGGTAGAGATGTGTGGACTTAATCCCTGTGCTTTTCTCCTTCCCACTCACAAACAATAGCCAGTTTGCTCACAAACCTTGGAGACATGGTAGGAAGAAGCAGCTACAGGTTTTGTTCCTTAGCAGCCTTTCCTGTTTATCTGCCACACACTTGCAAAAATGGCTTAAGGGAAATTCTATTCTGACTCTGGAAGACACAGGGTCTGGCTAGCCATGGATGAAGACACATGGGTGGCAAAGACTGGCAAGTGCCCCTGATTGAAGTTGTAGTAAAACTCAGAAGTAAGAGGAGGAGGTGTGTGTGTGTGTGTGTGTGTGTGCACGCGTGCATGCGTGTGCACGGCACACACGTGCTGCTCCTGGGTGCTCTTTTACTCAAAGTTAGCACTCCACCTCTGGAGCTACAACTCCAGTTCTGGCCATTTTGGTGGTTAATTGGAGATGAATCTTACAGATTTTCAAACCCTGATTCTCAGATCTCAGATCTCACCCTCCTGAGCAGCTAGGATTATAGGCATGAGTCACCAGGGCCCAGCTAAGGAGTAGGTTTTAAAGAATTCGTATCATTGGGTAGGGGGTCAGGACACTTGGACTTCTTTATTATTGACAGATTGCCGTCAGTATGAACTACTGACTTTATGTTGGAGGAAGTTATTTTCTACTCTAGGATGCCATTTTTTCATTTACAAAATGTAGAAAATGAGCAGGCTGGTCTCAGAAGTGGTTTCCTGACTAGCTTGCATACACAAAGGGCAAACGGACTCCAGTTTTGGTTCTGCCAATTGGCCAACCAGAAGAACTTAGGCACTCTAATCTCTTCTGAGTGTCATTTCTCTAAATGCTAAACATGGATATTTGGAACCAGAATTCACACTAGCTGTAATCTGATGGTATGCATACTTACAAAAGGCTTGGTTGATATTTTTCCACAGATAATTGAGAGAGATCCACTAGTTGCAAACTGCTCAGGAAAGAGAAGAATGGCCAATTCAGTTGTCTTGAAGGATGAAGTTTTATGATACTTTCAATCATTAAGCAAAAAAAAAAAAGTAATATTGGAAAAAATTAGGGAAATGCCACTACAGAAATGGCATGAATTCACATAGATGAAGGTTTATATTGACTTTGAAGAATAGGCGGATGCTCAGAAGGATTAGCTTTATTTTATTAGAAAGCATGAGGAACTGAGGAGCCCTGGAGAAAGACAAAAGTTATTCAGAATCCAAGGTTGAAAGAGAGGCAATTGAGGCAGACCAGTGGCTCGAAAGGGATAGATGAGGCAGTGAACAGAAGCATTCAGGATTGAGGCAAGGTGCAGAAATGTATGGGCATGAAGCTCTTGTGTGGGTGGCCTAAGACTTTAAGTTGGGGGAATTAGAAACTAGCTCAGATGTTAAATTTTCATCATTAGCCCCCGAAGCCAGTGTTTGATCCTAGTGGAATCAAAGATCCTGATGTTAGAAGTAAGATATTCTGAGAAGCTGAACCATTGGTTAAGTTCGTTCTTTGGGTACTGGATAGTCACAAAGAAGATCCAGCATGAACTAACACTAGCTTTCCTAAGGAAACGTGAGTGTCTCAACTAGTGCTTCAGAGAAATCATTTATTCTATAGGGGACAGAGCAAGACCTTGTATGGTTGCATAATTTGTGCCCACATAGGTACTGAAAAAACATTAACCAGCCTAGAATATGTGCCTTTTTCCCTTTTGTTCAGGATGTTATTGGGGGAAGAAATGATCCCAGTGGAAGTTTTTCCTTACTATTCATGCAAAATATGCACTTAGTCCTTTTCATGATCTGTTAGATGGCAGGAAGCAAGAAAGAGCTTTAGGGTTCAGGACTGACACTCAACACACAGCAAGAATGGCTCTACTTCCCTGAGTTTTATTGGTGCTAATGTAAATGTCTGCAAACTGTGGTAGCCACTAGGAGTCTCACTTGATTGTTTAAACATGGCCGTCTTGCTCTCTGCCTGACAATGGGCTCATGAAAGTCCCCAAAAAGGAAGCAAAAGATCTTCTATTTTCCATCAGGTAGCAATAATGCCAGCTCAGAAGTGCTGCTCTGATATACCCCATGCATTGACTTCCCTTCTTGCTTTTTGTCCTCTTCAATCTCTTTCTGAGATCCTTACTCAGCAGGAGGGCAGATTAAGTCTCTCTGCTGCTCTTGTGGAAGAGCAGATAACAGAGGAAAGCTTGAGGCCTTGGCCTCCTCTCTCCCCTCCTCTTGAAGACTGAGTCTCCCAGGACTAAGTTCCCAGTTAGCTTTATGAAAGCATGTTGTCCTTTAAGATCCCACGCTACTGACACACAAGGCTCCGATAAATGGGTACCCAGATACCAACATGGTGAAAGCTTCTGGGTCGAAGTGGAAGGAGCAGGAGGTTGAAACCCAAATGGCTCCCAAACCTGAAATCATCAGGCAGCACCAGATTTGGATCACCTACAGAGGACCAGAGGGAAGATTCTGGAACACAATTCTAGTGAAAGGGATTACTCAGATACATATTGTGAATTGTAAAGAGTACCAAACAAGATTATTTCATAACTGATTAGGAAAAATGTCATATTGAAAAGGAAATATCCACAAGGAGTTAAGCTAGATATAGTTGTAAGCTAAATTATACATAAGTTAAGGAGAAAAGTTATATAATTTCTCGTAAAAGGAAGTATATAGAACTTAATCTCTGAAAGGATGATTAAATTAGCAAATTAGGTAATGACCATACATGTATTTTAATTTATAACTGGTATTTGCCAAAAATCTTTTTTTTTTGGGGGGGAGGGTCCAGTCGTGGGACCTGAACTCTGGGCCTGGGCACTGTCCCTCAGCTCTTCAGCTCAAGGCTAGCGCTCTACCACTTGAGCCACAGTGCCACTTCTTGCTTTTTTCCTTTTGCTTACGTGGTACTGAGGAATCGAACCCAGGGCCTCATGCATGGAAGGCAAGTGCTCTACCACTGAGCCACCTTCCCAGCCCCCAAAAATCTTTTTTTTAAAAGGAGTTGGAGAAAAGTTATCTGTACAATGGTCCAGTTATGTGACTATAGAGAACAAACTTACATGAATGAGGGTATTAGTTTCAATCGACATCAAACAGAACAACAAGTTTCAGTTGTTGTCATTCACCTTTATTCATTTAGTTTTAAAAAATGGGCTGGTAAGTGGCTGTGGTAAAGTGATAAAGTGCTTGCCTTGTATGCATGAAGCCCTGGATTTGATTCCTCAGTACCACATAAACAAAAAAAGCTGGAAGTGGTGCTGTGGCCAAGTGGTGGAGCGCTAGCCTTGAACTGAAGAGCTCAGGGACAGTGCCCAGGCCCAGAGTTCAGGTCCCATGACCGACCAAAAAAAAAAAAAGAATAAAATGTGCTTGTCCTAAGACTTGAACTCAGGGCCTGAGCTCTGTCCCTGAGCTTCTTTGGCTCAAGGCTAGTTAAATACCACTTGGGCCATAGGTCCACTTCTGGCGTGTGTGTGTGTGTGTGTGTGTGTGTGTGTGTGTGTGTGTAGTTAATTGGAGATAAAAATTTCATGGGCTTTCTTGCCTGGGCTGGCTTTGAACTGCCATCCTCAAACTCAGTTTCTTGAGTAGCTCGAATATAAGAGTGAGCCACTTGTGCCAAGCTCATGGTTTTTAATAATATTCATTTTCATCATTCTAATTGTAGTAATAATGTATATTTGTTAAAAAACCTACATTCTACACATTATTAATCTTACCTTTTTTAACAAACAAAGAAAATTAGAGTTAAGATATTATAAATCTGCACAAATGCTAACTGGAAGACTGGGAGTTTTAGCCTTATTTAAATGAGAGCTCATCTTTTAATCACTGCTTAAAGCACATAGCTATTGAAAGATGACATACATAGACAAAATAGTTAATAGTTTATTAATGTGTAACTAAGACAGCAAATGCTACTTGATAATTCAAGAAAAGAATATTATTATTATTAGCCCAAGAAAGACTATTATTCAAGAGAAATTAGAAACATTGACAGGTACTCTTCAAATGAATGCTGCTATGAAGATAACTAGTGACAAATAGCTGGAAGATGCATGAAATTAAAAATATTATTTTTCTCAATGGGATAAGTTATATTAAGCTTCTGTGCTCATAGAATTCATCAAAAATGGCAGGGAGAGTAGGCAGTATTGTTGGAACAAGTTATCTGAGATGAGATCTTGTGCACAAATGGAGGGAGAGTCAACATTCAGTGATGGACATTCTCTTCTTAGTAATGGAGAGGAGAGAATTCATGGGCACAAATGTGGGCAAACTGGGCATGATGTAGAATTCTGTCAAAATTGCTTCAGGTTTTTTAGTGTTGTATGAAATGTATTCAATGGAAAATGAGAGCGAGGAAGATTTATTACAGATTAGAGGCATGAAGTGTTTTTCTGGAGTGGTCGGGGAGTGAATGAAAGAACGCATGTCCCTTTTAGGTAGCAGTAACAATCCAGTTGAGTTGATGGCCATAAATCTTATGGCTGTGTGTGTGTGTGTGTGTGTGTGTGTGTGTGTGTGTGTGTGTATCTTACTAGACTGAGATATGGAGCAGGAAAATGGGCAGATAATTAGAATTAAATTAAAATTCAGTTTGCCTGCAGAGTGTGCTATTGGAGGAGCAGAGACGGAGGACCAGAGAGTTCATGAAAGAGCGAATTATGGGACCTCGACAGGGTAAAGAAGAAAATGAGCCTATAGAGAGGTCAGGTTCTATGACAAAGAGATATTATTGATACTGCTTGGCTGAGATTAAAGAAAGTCAATAGAGAGTCATGGTGAGCTATCTGAGAGAGCTTGGAGGTGGTGTTTGCAGTGTGGGGTGCTGGAAACATAGAGAAATAATAGGTTTTCTGCTGTTGATAAGGTTTAGGATGTGACCTAAGGAATGTGCATCTGAGGACGAATAAACATACATGGGGAGAAGGAAGTCCGGGAACTGATGGAACATGACAGTGGCCATATCACTTACATGAATATTGAAACAGTATGACTTCTGGTGAAACTCTGCTAGAGGGAATGATGATGATGATGATGATTTAGGGGCCAAGGTTTAGAATGCAACGTGGCTGATGACATATGAGGATGAATTAATAAGTAGCGCACAAAGGTTTTTAAGAGGCAAAATTCAGGGCATAGGAGATACACTGAGAGATGGATCTCCAGGTATCTCGAGAAGCAAAGATGATGTTGACTTCATTTCTATGATTAGGGTGAGAGCTTGCCCTCAGAACACAGATTCTCTTCTGACCGTAGATTGAGATCTTTGGAAAAAAACAAGTTGAGGGATTGAGATTATTCGGAAGGCAGGAGTAGGAAAGTTTTCAAAGGTGGGAATGAGTAGGAGTTGGGTCTTAATTGGGAGTGTCCAGAATGGATGGCAGTATAAGGCTACTTGTTGTCTTGTCCTTAATCACATAGACAAGGAGAAAAAAAGGTATAGTGAGATTAAGTTAGAGTCTATCATCTCAAATATTTGAAAAAAAAACAAGTTCACAGAACAAAAGAAAAGGATCTGATTTAATCATACTGAATAAAAGCATATGGTTCCATTGAAAATCTCTACCAAAGTGAACTTAGAAGACACTGATTTGTTACTTGCTTAGCATTCTGATGGAAAAGAACTTAGTGGCTCTAGTTTACAGAAAGGCCTGAGGTCTGAGAGTGTCTTCTTAGAAAGCTCCATTTCCTATCTCGGTTAGTCTGGAGTCAGCTGGAAATAAGTGAAAGATTTTCCCAGAAGCACTGAAGATGGATGGTCATGACACATTCACAGCGTATTTCCTCCATGTTCTTGTTATAAGGAGATGGACTTACCCCAAGAACCGTGGCTTCATGCTGTTGACTGTTCTGTAGGTCCTTCTCTTTGTGGTAATTGTGTACAGCCTTCTCTCTTTGGGTTTTAACGCTAACCTTTGGAGGGAAGCTGTCAGGAGCACCCTTAGGGTTGGGCGATAGCCACATAATGCTCACCACGCTGAAAGAGGCAGTGAACAGGGTCAGTTGCCAAGGTTTGGAGCTTCCTCCCAGGAGCAGAGCTGAGGGGTGGCCTATCCTTTAGGAACAAAAGCAAATGTACAGCCCTGGAAAGGTAGCACGCTTGGCACAGTCCCTCCATTGTCAACATGAAGAATGCCGTTGGGAGAATACTGCAAACATTTGGAGCAACTCGGCAATTGGAAAGTGGACAATTCCCACAGAACTGGGAACAGATCTGCCTCCCTCTCCATCCTGCAGCCTCCACTTTCTACTTCCTGTCCCCCCTCTCCAGCCCCTCTTCACCTGCAGTGCATTCCCATACTGCATCTCTCAGGACTTCATTTTTATGCTGTATCTGCACAGCCCACTTCTTTATTCCAGTGTTTGTTTTGTTACCATTAGAAAATTGGGTAAATAGAGAGACTACATTCTTTCCAGAATATTTCCCTTTGCTTCTATTGGTGTGGTAATGTTCAATATGAACATTTATTTAACTGTTTCTGAATCCTAGACAGTAGACCATTGTAATTCTCATCCTTATAACAATCCTGCAATGTAGTGTTATTAAATTCATTTTATACATAAGTTCAGTGGTTTTTGTTCAATAAAACAATCACCAGAAGCACCCTGGCATGTAGAATGTGTATACTACATGAAAGCAAATATCATTATTAGGCTGTATTTGCATATCTGGCAAGTGTCTGAATTGGGTCTGGCTCCTGATTTTTTCTCTATACATTGAGCCTTCCTTCTCCCTTTCCTTCCTTCATATCTTGGCAGCTGCACTGTAGATGGAAGGAGTAAGTGGTCTGCTGTCCACCAGCTTAGAACTTGGGCCCCTGTAGTGTCAACACAGAGCTTGCTGGAAGGCAACACAACCTTCTTCCTCCTGAAGGCCATCATTTGGTTATGGGCTTGTGATCATCTGCTGGTGCCCCAGTTCTGTTTTTGGACACTTCCTCTCAATGTTTTAGTATTAGGGGATTAACTCCAGGCTCTCGGATGGGATGCATAACATACAGGGCTTGAAAAGGACAGGTAGAATCCTGTGACTAGTGGAAGAGATGTAGACGCACACTTGGATGGGAGTCCAATGGTCCTGAAGCACTGACTGCTGCTCGTGAGTTTGCATCTTTACCACTAGGGCTCAAACATGTCAACTTGACTCCTTACTGCCCTTCTTAAGCAGCTTCCCTAGTTCTGGATTGCTTGTTGTATTTTTCAGGTCTCATATGCATTGACAACATGGCGTGTTAGATTCTAGCCCTGTGTTAGGACCTGGAAGCCTACTGGCCACCCTGTAGCCTACCTACAACCTGACTCACAGCATGTTTTTTCATTGCTTATTTGGTTTAAAAGGGCAGAAAAGACAGCTGCAACCCAAGGAAATAAAATGAGGATAAAACAAAAAACTCCTCAGCCCTTCACAACTACCATAAAATAACTGTTGTTACATATCTTTTATATTCTTTTTTCTCCACTTTTTCTGTCCTT